CCCCTCACAGATCCCCCATCCCCCCCCAGATTTCCCTGTCTCCTCACAGATCCTCCCGCCCTGTTTCCTCACAGATTTCCCACCTCCCCTCTGTACGGCCGTTTCCAGCTGTCCTGGTCCTGGGGTGTCAGGGTTCCTGGGATGGGCAGGAGCAGGGGACCCAAGTCCAATCCTGAGAACGGAGACCCTAGGCTCCTGACAGGCTCCTGATAATCCCACGCGGCCAGTGTCCGAGGCTGGACCAGAAGTTGCCAGGTTCCCCGCCGCCTGTGGGTTCCGCGGGTTCCGGGGGCGCCCGGCGAGGTGACAGGCCCCGGGAGCGCTGTGACGGCCCTCTGTGCCCAGGATGGAGCTGAAGGTAGCCTTCTCCGTCTGCAGGGAGGACTTTGGTTCCAGGCTCCCGCTCCCTGGGGACCCGTGGGCGAGGAGGGGCAGTGCCCGCGAAGGAGGCCGGGCCCTTGCGGCTCCCGTGATGGGGACCCTGGGGGTGGGCGCGCCTCGGCCTCACCCAGCACCCCCGACAGCCCCGTTAGCGCCTCACAGCCGGGTGACCTCGACCCTGTGGCCATGCTGGCTGGCTCCTGACGCCTCAGAGCCTCAGTTTCTCCTCTGGCCGTCGCCAGGCGATTGCGCCGCGGGGTAAACCCGTGAGTGGCGCTCAGCGGGGTTGGCCGAGGCTGTGGCAGCCTCAGTCCCTCCTTCTGCTCTGGCAGCCAGGGAAGGACGTGGGTCCCTACAGCCCTGAGGTGAGGGAGGAGAGTGGTGAGGGGCATCCGGGAGGCCAGCACGGGGAAGTTGTGGGGCCACCGTCCGGGGCAGTGCCTGGGCTCCCCTAGGGTCCCGCTTCCCGGTGCCCCCCTAGCTCAACACCTCCCCAAGCTGACAGCCCCAGGTGCAGGCGACGTGTGGCCTCATGCCTCCCACTCCTGGGTCCAGGGGAGTCATGAATCCCTCCAGCCCTGCCTCAGGATGACCCTCCACTGTCCAGGGTTCCACATGCCCCACCTCGACTTTCTTTTCTTTTTCCCTCCCCACTCTCCCCTCCCTCCCTTCCTTCCTTTCTTCCTTCCTTTTTGATGGAATTTCACTCTTATTGCCCAGGATGGAGTGCAGTGGCCAATATCAGCTCACTGGAACCCCACCTTCGGGTTCAAGCAATTCTCCTGCCTCAGCCTCCCGAGTAACTGGGATTGCAGGCATGGGCCACCAAGCCTGGGCCACCACACCTGGCTAATTCTTTGTATTTTTAATAGAGATGGGGTTCCACCTGTTGGCCAGGCTGGTCTCGAACTCCTGGCCTCACATGATCCTCCTGCCTCGGCCTCCCAAGGTGCTAGGATGATAGATGTGACCTTCCACATTGGCTCTATTGCCGAGTCCTGGGATCAGCTGGTCCTGGGTCCCGTGTACTGTTTCTGTTGTTGGGTAGATTTCCATCAGAAGCACAGTACAGAAAATGGGGGAGGACAGGGCTTC